TGGCTTTGTTGCTAGAGATCACAGACGCAGGTCCGGGCAACAGAATTCGGCTTGCATGCGGCCATGGTAAGCCATTGTCTTTCAGCTTCTGAGCCCTCCTTTCCCACATACCAAGCAAAGCCCGTTGAGTGCTATGGTTTTCCTGTTAACCTTCAGCAGCAGAAAACAAACTAACCCCCCCCCCATCCAATTCTCTGGATGATCGCTTTATCCCTCCCCCCACCGCATGGCTGGTATCAGGGAAGATCCCTGCTAGCCAAACGCAAAAAGCTCAGGGCCAATTGCCCCCCCCCCACCGCGCTTGGCTAACTGCAGGGAAGGATTTCTTTTCAGCCACAGGCAAACAGCCCAGTAGGAACGGCCACCTCTGTCCCCTTAATTAAATTCCCGTATTTCAACCAGGTTACCATGAGCGATATCACTCTCCTGAGGATTACACAGTGAGATAAAGACCGGATGTTGCTTGAATGCCAGCAAACACTGGGACCATACGCTGCCAGGCTTTGTCATGCAATGATACCAGATTACTTGCTGCAAGCATGGCACGGTCAAGTGTCCTACCATGGAGGACGGAATAAGGCTGCACTGCCCAGAAACCTTGTGGCAAGGCTTTTGGAGTACCTCCAGGAGAGCTTAATGGAGATGTCCCTGGAGGATTTCCGCTCCATCCCCAGATACGTTAACAGACTTTTCCTGTAGCTGTACTGGCCGCGAATGCATCCCAAGTCCTCAGGGCAAAGTAATCATTAAAAAATGCTTGCTTTTAAAACAAGTTCTATATTTTAAAAGGTAAACTCACCTGAGGTCCCTTCCATAGGGTCGTGGTCTTGGATACTGGCTTGGGAGGGTTGGGAGGGTACTTCAGTCAGGCTGAGAAAAAGATCCTGGCTGTTGGGGAGAACGGAGTGCTGGGTGCTCTCCGCAAGCTCCTCCTCCTCCTCCTCCTCCTCCTCCTCCTCCTCTTCCCCGTCCGCAGAATCCTCAGGTGTAGCTGATGAGATTATCCCCGCCTCGGAATCCATGGTCAGAGGTGGGGTAGTGGCGGCAGCCCCCTCTAGAACTGCATGCAGCTCGGTGTAGAAGCGGCATGTCCGCGGCTCTGACCCGGAGCGACCGTTTGCCTACTTTGTTTTTTGATAGGCTTGTCTGAGCTCCTTGACTTTCACGCGGCACTGATCTGAGTCCCTATTGTGGCCTCTCTCCATCATGCCCTTGGAGATTTTTTCAAAAGTTTTGGCATTTCGTCTTTTTGAACAAAGTTCTGCTAACACTGAATCCTCTCCTCATATAGCGATCAGATCCAGTACCTCCTGTACGGTCCATGCTGGTGCTCTTTTTCGATTATCGGCCTGCATGGTTACCTGTGCTGATGAGCTATCTGTGGTCACCTGTGCTCTCCACGCTGGGCAAACATGAAATAAAATTCAAATGTTCGCGGGGCTTTTCCTGTCTACCTGGCCAGTGCATCCGAGTTCAGATTGCTGTCCAGAGTGGTCACAATGGTGCACTGTGGGATAGCTCCTGGAGGCCAATACCATCGAATTGCGGCCACACTAACCCTAATTCGAAATGACAGTATCGATTTTGGCGCTACTCTGCTCGTCAGGGTGGAGTACAGAAATTGATTTTAAGAGCCCTTTATTTCGAAATAAATGGCTTCGTTGTGTGGACGGGTGCAGGGTTAATTCGATTTAACGGTGCTAAATCCAAATTAAAGTCATAGTGTAGACCAGGCCAAAGGGTGGGACGAAAGCAGCACTATTAAACTCATTTTATCGATGGGGAAGTGAGGCAAATTAAGTTTTAGTGATTTGTCCAAGGTCACACAGGGACTCTGTAGCATCGCTGGGATTGAACCCAGATCTTTTGACTAATCTGCTTTAATCACAAAACCATCCTTCCTTCAGTGAAATGTCAGTGCTGGCCCCTATCACTTTAAATCAGGCCCTCTGAACCTGTTCCTTTCCTGGTCATTTCCTCCCTGCTGGTATTCAGAAAACTACCCTGAAACCATCCAGAACTGACTTTCCTGATCCAGAAATACCTCCAGAAACCTCTCACGGCTGCTCGCAGACCCAAGCAGTTTTTCTTCCCTTGCCCTTTGTGGGTATTATGCAATCCCAGTAGTTTTACAGCTCTTTGCAATAGTATTTTGAGCTCTTAACTTTTTTCTACTGCAGATCAGAGGGCCACTCATCCTTGTTAGGCAGAGGTGGAATGAATGACTGCAATATGCTTTCTCCTCTCCCTCCTCCAATTCTTTCGGGAATGGTCCTATCATGCCAGAGTAGCAATTAAATTGGACTGAGAGCTAGGTGTAATTCGTAGCAAACTACAGGACGCAGTTTTAGGAACAGCTGATGCCAAACAAGAGAGTCTTAAAAGTAATCTAAAGGGCACTAGAGTCCATTTATATTTCCATGCCTTTTTTTCTCTTCCCCCCTGGGTCTCTGCAGAATATCTTGGAGGCCATTCTATGAAACTATTACCTAATCTTCTCCTTTAGGTCATTTTCAACAGATGCATTCCAATAACTCTTGGGTGACCATATACATTAAAAAAAAGACAAGGACACTTTTTATTAGAGTTAGAGTGATGCAGGTCAGCAGAGATGGGTCAGGAAAGAACTAATACAAACTGAACAAGCCCCACAGAATTTCCAAACAATTTATTTGGCTGAAATCATAGTATGATCATTATGCTGTGCCATGGGATGTATATAGTCCATGTTGGTCTGGCAACCAAGGGGTTAGGAACTGCTTGCCAGCACTGATTGGCAGCCTCTCAGCAGCTAGGAAAATAAAAGAGCTGAGAAGCAAGGGGTTGCCAGAGAAATAAGCAGTCTGGAGAAGGAAAGTCCTGCCCACTAGCTGGTGAGAAGTTGCCCAGAGAAAACACCCTAGAGAGGGGATCACTGGATCAACAGGCTGGAGAAGCCTACAGACCTAAGGGAAATAAGAACAAGCTCAGGGCACAGCAGAAGGAATTGTTAAGGCTTAATTCCACCTGCCTAGTTTGAAGGCCCTGAGCTGGAACCCAGTGGCATGGGTGGGCTGGGGTTCTCTTACCAATTCCCCAATGGGCCATAAGAACCAAAAGAGGTGTTCAGACCCCCTGAGAACCAGGATCAAATAACCCTGTCAAGTATAAAGGGAAACCCAGGCATGGGACTGAAACTAACACCCTGCGAAGCCCAGAATGAGACTATCATAGAGACTCAGGCCTGGTCTACACTAGGAGGTTATGTCGAATTTAGCAGTGTTAATTCGAATTAACCCTGCACCCATCCACACAACGAAGCTATTTATTTCGACATAGAGGTCTCTTTAAATCAATTTCTGTACTCCTCCCCGACGAGTGGAATAGCGCTAAATTCGACATGGCCATGTCGAATTAGGGTAGGTGTGGATGGAATTCGACGCTAATAGCTCCGGAAACTATCCCACAGTGCACCACTCTGTTGACGCTCTGGACAGCAGTCCGAGCTCAGATGCTCTGACCAGCCACACAGGAAAAGCCCCGGGAAAATTTGAATTCCTTTTCCTGTCTGGCCAGTTTGAATCTTATTTCCTGTTTGGACATCGTGGCAAGCTCAGCAGCACTGGCAATGATGCAGAGCTCTCCAGCAGAGGTGACTATGCAATCGCAGAATAGAAAGAGGGCCCCAGCATGGACTGATCGGGAAGTCTTGGATCTGATCGCTGTGTGGGGCGATGAGTCCGTGCTTTCGGAGCTGCGATCGAAAAGACGGAATGTGAAGATCTACGAGAAGATCTCAAAAGCCATGACGGAGAGAGGATACAGCCGGGATGCAACACAGTGCCGCGTGAAAATCAAGGAGCTGAGACAAGCGTACCAGAAGACCAAAGAGTCAAACGGACGCTCCGGATCCCAGCCCCAGACATGCCTTTTCTACGAGGCACTGCATTCCATTCTAGGTGCGGCCGCCACCACTACCCCACCACTGTCCGTAGACTCTGACGATGGGGTATTGTCGACGGCCGCTTCCTCGGAGCTGTTCACGGACGGGGAAGATGAGGAAGGAGATGAGGAGGACAAGGCAGTTGACAGTGCTTTCAACGCTGATTTCCCCGACAGCCAGGATCTCTTCATCACCCTCACGGAGATCCCCTACCAACCCTCCCAAGGCAGTAACTCGGACCATGAATCAGGGGAAGGATCAGTAGGTAAGTGTTTTAAACATTTATTTTGAATAGAATAGGCATGGTATGTTAGCAATGGGTTTTTAATGATTAGTTTGCGCTAGGCGCTTAACTTTTTAGTCCTTGCCAGTGCAGCTACTGGAAAAGTCTGTTAACATGTCTGGGGATAGAGTAGAAATCCTCCTGGGACATCTCCACAAAGCTCTCCTGGAGGTAATGTGAAAGCCTTTGCATCAGGTTCCTGGGGAGAGCGGCCTTATTGCCTCCTCCATGGTAGGAAACTTTTCCGCGGCAGGCTAGCAGCAGGTACTCCGGTATCATTGCCTGGCAAAACATGGCGGCATACGGCCCCGGTGTTTGCTGGCATTCACACAGCATGCGGTCTGTCTCTGTCTCCGTAATCCTCATCAGAGAGATATCACTCATGGTGACCTGCTTTGAATTAGGGGAATTTTAGTATGGGGACTGATTGCCTGTTCCTGTAAATAACTGTAACTGGCGGTTTACAGCCACGTGGTGGGGGCAGGGAGGCAAACCGTTCCTGCTGAGCGGTTCACTGACAGCATGCATTGATCTTTCCCGGGGACAGCCGAGACGGGGGTGGGACAGGAGCAGAGTTCATGCCGTCTGGATCGCCGGCAGCGTGCAGGGATCTTTCCCGAGCCCAGCCACATGGTGGGGGTGGGGAGGCGAACCGTTCCTGCTGAGCGGTTCGCCGACAGCATGCAAGGATCTTTCCCGGAGACAGCCGTGACGGGGGTGGGACAGGGGCAGAGTTCATGCTGACCGGATCGCCAGCAGCAGGAACTGGCCAATGCTAGGAGCATTGCTTGGAACGTGAAAGGAGGGCACTGCTGTAAATTAAACTTTAAGCAGCCAAAAGTCTACGGCTTACCATGGCCGCCTGCTAGCAGAATTCCGTTGTCCGGCCCCGCTTGTGTGATCAGTACAGCAAGACCCCAGGTACTCAATGTGAAGACAGAAAATTCGACCTTGTACTGAGTGCACATGTGATAGGTACTGTGCGTGATCTTGTTCACAGAGAAAGACTATAATCATTGCTTGCAAAAATGTATCTTTTTGAGGAATTCACTCCCTTTTTCCCATCCCACAGCTGCGAGTGTCTCCCGAGCTACCCCAGCATCCCCCTCCCAGAGGCTGGCGCAGATCAGGCGGCAAAAGAAAAGGACACGGGACGAGATGTTCTCAGAACTTGTGGTCTGTTCCCGAGCCGAGGAACAGCAGACCCAGTGGAGGGAGAACATGTCGCAATACCAGCGATCACACAGCAAACGGGAGGACGGCAGGAAGACCAGCAGGCGACTCAAACGCTGCTTGGACTAATGAGGGAGCAAATGGACATGCTCCGGCACCTTGTAGATGTTCTGCAGGACCGGAGGCAGGAGGACAGAGCCCCGCTGCATTCTATCGCTAACCGCCCTCCCCCGCCACAAAGTCCCATCCCCCCCTCACCCAAAGTCCCAAGTAGGAGAGGCGGCAAGGCCCGTGAAAACAGTCACTCCACCCCTGCAGACTGCTCAAGTAACAGAAGGCTCTCATTCCCAAAGATTTGATATGTCCTTTCCTTCCCTCCAAATGCACCTCACCCAAGCCCCCGTCCCAGTTTCATCCCCTAACTGTGTAGTTCTTAATAAAAAATATGTTTCTGTTAATTACTGTTTCCGTCATGTTCTTTTAGAGGACAGTGTGTTTGAAGGGGGGGAAAGGGGTTGGTAATTGGAGAGGACAGTCACCTTTACCAGGGTACAGACATGGGGGGCAGGTTCAGCAGAAGGTCACACACAAATTGCAGTCAGTAGGCACACTGGTCAGTCTGGGAGGTGGTTTTCATGTTCTGTGTGTGGGGGCTATGTGAGTTTGTGGCGGGGGAGGGCAGTTACAGATCTTAGGTAGCGGTCCTTAGCCTGGATGACAGAGCCACGCAGCAGGGGATCTGTAACCGCCCTCCCCCGCCACAAAGTCACATAGCCTCCACACACAGAGTCCCGAAAAGGAGGGGTGGCAGGCTGCGTTGAAACAACCAGTCCATCACTGCGGACTGCTCTAGGAGCAGGAGCCTGTCATTCCTCGAGTTTAGAAGCGTCCTTTCCATCACTACACCCGCTCCCCACCACAGTCTGCGTCCCAGTTTCAACCCTTTACCGCGAAATCCTTAATAAAGAAAACGGTGTTCATGAACAAAGTTTCATTTATTTTATTTTTAAAGGTGTATTGGAACGGGGGGGAAGGGGGTTGGTAACTGGAGTGGATAGTCAACATTAACTGGGTAAAGAAACGGGGGCAGGTTCAGCTTCTGTTTAAACAAATGTAATAGTCACAGGTTACCCTGGTCACTCTGGAATCTAGCTTTCAAAGCTTCCCGGATGCACAGCGCGTCCCGCTGGGCTCTTCTAATCGCCCGGGTGTCTGGTTGGGTGTAATCAACCTCAACCTCCCACCCCGCCATAAACGTCTCCCCCTTGGTCTCACAGAGATTGTGGAGCACACAGCAAGCTGCAATAACAATGGGGATATTGGTTTCGCTGAGATCAGAGCGAGTCAGTAAGCTTCTCCATCTCCTCTTCAGACGTCCAAAAGCTCACTCCACCACCATTCTGCACTTGCTCAGCCGGTAGTTGAAGAGTTCTTTTTCACTGTCCAGGGCGCCTGTACAGGGCTTCATGAGCCAGGGCATTAGCGGGTAGGCTGGGTCCCCGAGGATCACTATAGGCATCTCCACATCCCCAACAGTTATTTTGTGGTCCGGGAAGTAAATACCTTCCTGCAGCCATCTAAACAGACCAGAGTTCCTGAAAACACGAGCGTCATGAACCTTGCCCGGCCATCCGACGTTGATGTTGGTAAAACGTCCCCTATGGTCCACCAGTGCTTGCAGCACCATTGAAAAGTAGCCCTTTCAGTTAATGTACTGGCTGGCCTGGTGGTCCGGTCCCAGGATAGGGATGTGAGTTCCATCTATAGCCCCACCACAGTTTGGGAATCCCATCGCAGCGAAGCTATCTATGATCACCTGCACGTTTCCCAGGGTCACTACCTTTGAGAGCAGTAGCTCAACGATTGCGTTGGCTACTTGCATCACAGCAACTCCCACGGTAGATTTGCCCACTCCAAATTGATTGGCAACTGACCGGTAGCTGTCTGGCATTGCAAGCTTCCAGAGGGCTATGGCCACTCGCTTCTGGACAGTCAGGGCTCCTCGCATCCGGATGTCCTTGCACTTCAGGGCAGGGGACAGCAACTCACAAAGTTCCAGGAAAGTTCCTTATACATCCGAAAGTTTCGCAGCCACTGTGATTCATCCCAGACCTGCAGCACTATGCGGTCCCACCAGTCCGTGCTTGTTTCCTGGGCCCAGAATCGCCGTTCCACAACATCAACATGACCCATTGCCACCATGATGTCCACGGCGCGGGGTCCCGTGCCTTATGAGAGGTCTGTGCCCCTCTCAGGCTTAATGTCCTCACCGCGCTGCCGTAGCCTCCTTGCCCGATTTCTCAGCATCTGCCTCTGAAAAAGGTGGATGATAAGGCACGAGGTGTTGACAACGGCCATAACTGCAGCGATGGTCGCAGTGGGCTCCATGCTTGCAGTGCTGTGGCGTCCGCGCTGTCAATCACCAGAAAAGTGCGTGAACTGATTGCCCTCCGGCGCTTTCATGGAGGGAGGGCGGGAGTGAGGATTGAATGATGACAGTTACCCAAAACCACCCTCGACACATTTTTTGCCCCAGCAGGCATTGGGGGCTCGACCCAGAATTCCAATGGGCAGCAGGGACTGCGGGAACTGTGGGATAGCTACCCACAGTGCACCGCTTCCAATGTCGACACTTGCCCCGTTAGTGTGGACTCACAAAGTCGAATTACTGTCCTTAGTGTGGATACACACGTTCGACTTTGTAATATCGGTACCACAAATTCGCTTTAAGTAAAATCAAACTACTCTTGTAGTGTAGACATACCCTCAGGCAAGAGGGGGTAACTGACTGCCCCACCAGACTAAGTGAGCTCTGTGTAATGCTCCATCTGACCATAGAGGGTGCTGTGCCTTCACACGTGCATTTGCAGCGCACAGGCTGCAAAACATAAATCCTTACTTTCCCTGGTTCAGATTACGTAAAGGTAGCTCTGTCTAACATAGCAAGCAATGCAAACAAATTCTGAGTTTCCCACTGGATAATAAAATAATATACAAGCTGACAAAAAACAAGGGAGACTGGAAATATACAGTTCCCTCCTTCCTTTTGTTAACTATCATATATAGTTTCCCTCCTTCCTTTTGCAATGAATCACACCAGGCTGTTGTAATGTCTTGGACAATGCTTCCCTGTGTGCTTTAGCCCAGGATTTTGGAATAAATGAAGTAAAGACAATCCAGATTTTAAGCAAGCATCATTGTGTGCCAGAGCAAGACACTTTGGGACTTATTTAGTAAGCTGCATGCAACAGTCCAGAAAAGCTGAATGTACTCAGCAAAACTACTAGTTCTTAGATATCCTCAAAAGAGTTACCTTGTGGCTCTCCATAATTGTTACCTCTTAGGTGAGCTCCCTATCAAATTGGCTCAGTTTGGAAGTCAAATAGATGATTTTTATAACACGAATCCCTGCAATTTCAACCTGGGTTCTGAAGTTCAACCTGGGTTGTTAGTTTCTAAGGTGCCACAAGTACTCCTGTTCTTTTTGCGGATACAGACTAACATGCCTGCTACTCTGAAACCTGGGTTCTATTGTGTCTCACATGGTCACCAATTATCAAGATTCTAGAATCTGAATGTGGCCAACAATTGTGCTATCAGCAGTAGACATTGGGTTTTGTTAGTAAAATAAGAAACTGAGACATTTTAAAGCCACCTTTGCACCTCCACATCATGAGTTCCGCTTTGTGCTCGTCAGCCCACAGTCATGGATCTGAGCCTGTGTCTTTAAGAAGCTTACAAACATAATTCATATTATTAAATTATCAGTATTTATACAGTATGAACATTGACAGTTACACAGCCATGTGGAAGAAATTGTACAAGGCTTCCATTCATGCCATTTCCATTGATTTCAATAAGAAAACCACACATTGAGAGCTTGCAAAATGGAGCTCTACATACAGGGTCAGATCTTCAGCTGATGTAATTTAGAAGAACTACACTGAAGTCAATGACCATTAAAGTAATTGGAGCTATGCCGATTTATACCAGCTGAGGACCTGATCCATAATTACAAAATTTTGTCTTACAGTGAAGGTTTTCTCAGTGAAAATAGACTTTCAGATGGAACACATTTTTTTCTTAACCTGCTACTTAGTTATTTTAATCCCCAATTAATTTTAGATCTAAACTTGTATGTAACTTTTCAAATACCTGCCAGAGGACACTGTGTGTCCTACCAATCAGCTATGGAGCAAAGAACGCCCTATGGTTGACATTCTGAGATTATGTGCTGCAGCTATATGCATTTTTTTGTTCACATGGTAACTGAATCAAAAGAAAATCATAATGAAGCACAATGGTTGGATTCGGAAATAGATTATAATAACATTCTTCACGAATAATCCTAATGAGGGGAAAGAGCTGAACTTGCAGTGGGCCAAATTTATCCTTGGTACACTCCAATTAAGTTACTAGCACTGCATCAGGGAGGAATTCAATCTATTGGGTCAAGTTCTCTCAGTTCTATTTATGCGACTCCCCATTGATAACTGGGAGAACAATATGGCCCATTCTGTTTAAAATAAGGATTTTTATTGTCACTAACTCTTTGATTGACTTGTTAAAATAATTACTTAAAGCAAATTTGCCCTAGAAATTGATTTTGAAGTTGGATTTATGAGAAAAGATGAGTCTCTGTGATGGTTTAAAGCACAAGAAGTTTCTCTGTAAGTATGAGAAAGGAGGAGTAAAAGGGGGCTTAATTTTACAGTTCCAAGCTGTCCTTTGTCTAAAAGGTAAGACAGGAATTTCCATGGAAACCACTTCACTCCCTTCTCTTCACACAAAAAGAGTTAATTTACATCAGTTTCAGTTCAATTATGATAAATTTGTTTATTCTTATCTTAAAATAATATTCTGTGTCTCTTTCCAAAGCAGGATATTTATACATGTCAAAAAGAGCCAAGGAAAATAATATCAGAAAAGAAGTAAGCATTTGGTCTGTTTAAA